TAACATAAATAGGGCCCACCAAAGAACATGGGCCCACCTCTTGCCAGTGGCATGTTCTTTCCCAACCACTTTTTGGTGATACATGATAGCTGGGCCGGAACCTCTTGCCTGGCAGCTGATGATGTTGTTGGCATCGGGTTGGCATTTGACCCCGGAAATGTTGCGTGCCAAGCATGACACGAAAGTGGTGCTCAGGGTCCAACATGTTGATGATGTTGATGGAAATTCGAGCTCCATTCAAATCATCCAGACCAAATTCTGCCGCCTAGCAAGCCAGGGCCCCTCACGCTTCGAAACAATTATCATAATATTATGGCCTAGAATTTTATGGAATTTTATCATCTATAGTCTATATACATCCGAAAATTGGATAGTTGGATAGAGTCTATCTCCTTGGCGTTGGAAATCTACCTGTCACGAGTTGGGGCCCACCGAACCTTAACGGCGCCATACCGGGAACCCCGGGGAACCCGGTTACTGGAGCCGAAGCGCTACATCAGATGGCAACTGCCGCACAGGAATTTTTGGGGCACCAATCTACGCAGTAGCTCGTCGCCAAGTGTGGATATCTATTTCCGAAAAATTCATCCAATGCTGCCGGCACATTCTTTTCTTAAATCCACAACAGGTTATGTCGTTGGGAAAGGCTTTATGGCACAGAGGAATAAATGCGCATGTTGCTGCGCATTCTTCTTGCGAATTGCTCCCATCTGCAGCACTGTTGAAGAAGTGGTCGCCCACTGCAATGGCAATAGTGCCACTCTCGAAACCAAGTTTGATCATGGCGAAGCAAGCATCATGCAAGCATCATGCAAGCATCATGCAAGCATTATCACGTCGACCATCCGACAGAACAGAACAGGGATCTGAGGCGAGCGTCGGACGAAACTGTGCTTCAGCTGCCTTGCTTGGCTTGAACAGTACATCGGTGTAGCCATAGCATGCCATAGCCACATAGATCCAGGGCCACTTCAGCTGCAATGTCGTCACCTCCAGCTGCAGATAAGTCTTGGGTCACGCCAGCGCCGTGTTTGGATCAGCGGCAGACCTGACAAACAATTCTGCATCGATCGCCCAGCTTCACTCTGATTGTCAAACCGAAAAACCGAATTTGAGGTCATCGCTATAGGACCATAGGACCATAGGAAGTTCCAAGAGGCAAAATCATCAGAAAAGAGGCGTGTTTGGATCGAAAGGGGACATTCAAGCACATGCGCCCGAAACATTACCCGACATGACTCAGAAAGCCAGGAAATTTGTACCATGAGCCCTCCCGGTGCCTTTGTCATGCCCAAGGACGCTCGAAGTAGCAAACCTTAAAAGGACGAAAGTCCAATAAGTTTCTTTGCTCAAAGTCTGAAAGAATCAAGATGAATCAAGATGAATCAAGATGAATCAAGATGAATCAAGATGAATCAAGATGAATCAAGATGAATCAAGGCAACTTCGAGGTCACGACCCAAGTTGGCACTGTCTTTTACCTGCACTCTGTGTGTGTGCAATACACCAGAACATCAACTCATGGCCAGGACACTGTATCACTACTTTCCACAATGCACAAAAACGCTGTCAAGGATCAAACAATGTCAAACCTCATTCGATCCCTAGAGCTGGTCAACTACTTATTCAGAGCCAACGTCAATGCACACGTTGGACTCTACCCCGACAAATCTTGAGAGCTTCTGGTCCAGAATACACCCGCCAGACATTCCGTCAATATTTTTTGTCGAAGACATGCACATCTGAAGCTTAACAACCACTCTGTGAGTAGCTTTCGGCAAAACGGAAGAACCTCCACAGATCTAGAGCTGGTCGGTTCAAAAACACCCGGAACAAAGGACATTTGCTAAGGGTTGTTGCGTATTGCTGCCCATTTGTCCATTTTGGAAGCAAGAAAACGGGGAAACCGGGCAATCAGCAGCTCTTTCACATATAAAACATGCAAAGGAGCCGGCCTCTTTGTTATCATTTCGTTCCTTGGATGTGGCGTTGTCGATGGAGCGCCTGGCTGGAGGCCACTTCAAGTCCACTGCAAGTCTGAAGCTGGCCAGGGATATACTGCAAGTACATCTGTACAGTGTCTACACATCTATACAATCTATACATTCAGTTCGTAGATGCACTTCCCCATCTTGCAGCCTATAAGACCTAAAGTAGATATGCATAGAATTGCTGATTTTCATATGGCTGATGTTTGATCTGCCACTGTCGATGTCCCAAGCGCCTGTCAGAAGTCCTTTGCTTCACGCAGTCTGCCTCGCAACAATACGCTTAAGGTTTGATGCCTCTTGCGACAGGCCAGAAGCAGTCGGCCTTGGTGACCCGACCACGGCCGCTCAGCCCAGATTGGCGAATTGGGATGTAGCCTTCACAAAGAAAGCGACAAGAAGTCATTGAATAAACTGAATCAACTGGGGGGTTCCTAAAATGGGTGTGCCCTTAAATCATCCATTTCAAAAGGATTTTCCATTCTAAACCATCCAGCGATAAAGGGGTACCTCCAGTTTTGGAAATGCTGAGCCAGTTGCCTAGACATGTCAGTGAAACGCCAGGAATGACGAGGCGGTGTTGCCGGCAAAGTGGAGTTGTTTTTCAATTTGATATGATTCACCAGCGACCCTTGCCCCAAATTTGGGAACCATCAAGAAGCAAGATCTGCTCATAGCGTCACACTCCAAACCTCCGTCTGCTTTGACTCCGACTTTTCCACTTCCTGGCAGATCATGGACCATTGAACCCTTGGAGTCAGGTTGTAGAATCGCTCATAATCCCCAATTGCTCACAATCCTCTCTCACAATCTCTCTGAAAAGCGCTCTGGTCAGTCGTTGTGTGCCGCTCTGGCAATCTTGAAACTACGATTCACCATCCAAAGGCCTTTGTTGCCAGAATTAAGACAGTTAAAAAACAAGATGAACCACTTGCCATTCTTACCAGGAATGCATTGGCGGCACATGCTGCGCTAAAATCTTACGCCACACACCGAGTTTTTCAACGATCTAGTAGTCCCTTGAAGCGAGCCTTCCGCTTCGACTGAAAGTCAGCATCCGGAAAGGTAGTTTTGTTGTAGTTTTTGCATAATTTTGTTGGTACAAAATCACCATGTTGCTATGATTTACATGTAATGGTTGCTAATACATCTATGTTATGTTTTGTTTTTTCACTTGTGAAATATGTTTTGTTTAGGAGACAGGACGGAAGCTATTACTTCTGCAGTAAATTCAGGTAGAGCTAAATTTACATAAATTTGAGTTATTTAGTTAAAAGATACGAAATTTTCTTTTGTCACCTAATTTTTTGGATTGTTTTTTTAACTTAAAATTAGATTAGTGTTGTTAGTTATTTTCATTATTTGTGTTATTTTTTTGCATGTGGTGTTGTTGCAGAATCATTAGAATTTGGCTGTGACTTGCATGCACTGCCCAAGTCTGCAGAACTAGTACATTTATTTATTTTTTGTAAACCGAAGAATCGAGAAGACATTACATCTGTTTTGGCTAATTCATCCAACATTAACAAATTGTGTGAAAAATGACAACCGCAAAGTGCATCAAAAGTGCATCAAACATGCCTATTGTTTTTCTATCTAGTTTCCATGCATTTGGTACATGGGCAAGAATCTGCTAACATTTCTTCAAGATTTACTACATGGTGTGTCAATAAACAAATGAATTTGGCTAAACTGTATTTTGTTTGAGCATGTTTAAGCCTGATGCCAAACGAAAGCCAGAATCTTAGCAAGTGACGGCTCAGGTGAAAACTTGTTTTTGGGGAACCTACGTTAAGATTTACACTAGGTATTGATATCATTTCTGAAATCTTTAGTGGGTTCCGTGAATACAAAATGATATTTTTCCCAAACAGCGAAACATATTTTGAGAATAACACCCTTCGATGTAGGCAGCTCTCCTCTTGAAACATATTATGGAAGAATGTGCGTTTTTAATTCTAAGATAGTATGCAGGAACATTTTTTTGAAAAAATATAACCGTCCCTGAAGAATCTGTTGTTTTATATTGTTCAACACCCCTTTGATATGAGTGAGATATTTGATTCAAGTAATACACTATTGTTGGATAGTATTGAACGCATTTCTTCCATTCAGAGTTGTCTCTTCAAACCAGAGTACATGAAGGCTGGGCTGATCACGCGGCTTGTTCATAGGAAAGCGGAAGTGCTTTCTATAAGAGTGCTCAAATGTTCAAACATATTGCCATGTTGAGAGGGGTGCTCTATGTCAATAATACTGCGATTTTTGCGGAAATATGTGCTGCCCAAAGGTATACTGCTCAACTGAAAAGAATATTAGATGATTAGACCTTTGGAAATTCACGCTGCGCCTCTTCAAAGGGCATGTTGTATCTTGTAAAGGGATACTTTATATGTTGGAAAGGTATTGTTCCTGCAAGGACACGCTGCATTGCTCCAAAGGAAGATTACACTTATTGACAACGGTATGCTGCATTTCTGTTTTGAATTCTGCATTTGTTGGCAGCTATAGGTATGTTGTAATTATGCTGAAGACATCTCCAGAAATTGTGTTTTGTTAAAGGGACACCGTAGCATCTATCCAAGGTAGAGTGAACACCTGGACGCCTCTTCACACACATACTCTCTGGTGGACAACGCATTTTCATGTGTACAGCGAGTTTCAACAATGGAAAAAGTGCACTCTCACAGCGTCCTCCTTTCATTTTGAAAAAATAACCTGAGGTTTTGCGATGTTGACAGGATTTACTTGGGACTGCATCCAATCAGTTTTTGCAAGCGGGAGCGGACTTTTCTCGAGCACAAAAGCCTGGACGATATGGTCATGTCATTCACATGCCACAAAGGTGAAAACTTGTTACACTTCTCATCAAGATTTGTGCTGTGTCATCCATGAGTGCTGCCACAAATTGTACGCACTCCTCCTCAGCACCATTTTTCCTTCCGCCAGATTTCAGCACTCATAGCTGAATTCGCACTTCCAGAAACTTTGTCATGAAAAATTTTGCATGTCTCAACGTTCTCGATTTCGCAGCTTTGCTTCAAATCTTCCATAGGTTGCACATGCTTCAGGTCGGCTTGGCCTTGCATTGTCTGCCAACTGGAGGAAAAGATCTGCTGCTCTTTCACGGTATTGGTTTATCAGATTTTCATCAATGCCTCCACTGATTGCAGTAATCATCGTGAGGATGAAGGATTGGATTGAATTTGCATCCCTCCAATCTCCACGTTGAACTGCAAGACCATGCTGTTCCTTTACATTTTCCATCAACTGTGTCATGGGGGAAACTCTTTGTTCTCCCTCATCAATCATCTCGTCATCATCTGAAGTCTCTGATTCTGCCTGTTCATCATTGTTGTTTTCCACATTGATGTTTGCACCATGGTTTATTGGTACGTCCGTGGTGTCTGCATGTTCAGACTTGGCACGTTGCCTGACCAAACGCAAGTATTGCTCTGATCCCATTGCTCCATGAGCTACCAAGTTTGCACGCTCATGCATTGCCAAGCTTGTAAATTGGTCAGTTGTGAGACCAAAGCCAAAACGCAGAAATCCACCGCTCTCAACCAAACCATAATGCAAACCACACGCGTAGTCATGCAACATTGAATGCTCGTTGCTTTGCTCAATCAAACGTCCATCATGCATCATCAGTCTGTTGTGGATCTCGGTGATCCTTGCCTCCTGAGTTGCTATGTAACTGTCCTCATCTGCTACCTGACTCCAGCATTGGAATACATCATTTTGCACTTGTTTCATCGCTTCTACTTGTTCCTTCAAGCGCTTGTTGAACTTCTTCCATACACAGCAAAATGCTGTTGCCAGAATCATCACCAAAACGCATAAAACGCAAACTGCCGTCCAAAGACCAGCACTGTTGTCACGCTCGACCGCCTTGACATTCTTTGGACAAATCTCCAACAATTTTGCCTCCGCTGCCAAAGACTCAAGGCTTTGCACTCCAAGAATCAGGCTGATCCTTTTGATGGCCTTTCCCAGTTTGCTCAATGCCTTTCGGCTTTCATCTCTTTCTGTTGCAACATCGTACTCCTCCTGTCCAATGGGTTCTGCAGTCATAGGATCAACTGCACCAATGCCACACAGGAGGAAGTAAAGTCGGGCTTTGCTGAGATTCTTTGTTCCAACATCACTGTAATTCCAGAAGGTTGGCACCTGGGACACGTTGACCTCACCCAAGCGCGTCAAGTCTTGGAGCCAAAGAAGTTTGGCTGAGAGGTGGCGAATCCGGCCTACCCCTTGCCTTCCAATCAGCTGTCTTGCTGCAGAGTTGTCTGTGAACTGGTGGTGCTCAATTTGCACCTGCAGTAAAAACTCCATGCAATTCTTCACAAAGATCGCATCACATGTCCCAGAAATCATACTGTGAAGTTCTGATTCCGCTGAGCTGAGTGAAAACACGCTGGGACCTGCTACTTGCAAAAGCGAAACATCCATTCACAAACAAAACTGTGCAGCTTGTGCTCCTTCGACTTGATTTGTTGCCAGACCAATCTGCATCCGTGAATCCTTCAAGCAACCAAAAGGCTTCGGTGCCTTTCTTCCACTTACCTGTTCCATGTTCAGGCCAGTCAAGTTTGATACCAATATCTCCTGAGTTTTTGAGGTATCCAATCAGCTTGCGCAAACGCTGAACTGAACACAACGTTGGAGCAGCCATGAAGGAAGACAGCTCTTTGACGCTGTACATGATATCCACCCTGTCACGCGACAAGTACAACAAGAGGCCAATGATGCTTCTGTAGTTCTTTGCATCCTGTGGACTCAACAATTTCGAACTGTCATCTTGCTGCACTGCTGCATCACATGGAATTTTCTGTAAACGCGCAACTCCAAACAGCCTTTCAAAGCTTTCCACAACCTTGGAGACTGTGGTTCCTGGCACAATCACAAGCCCATCGCTGACTCTGATCAACCTGCGCTTCAGGAAGCTGATTTCTGTTCCTGGCTCACCAATTTCACTGAAGCTGACATTGAACTTTTGTTTCATCAAAGGAAGAAACACCTGAGACCAGTACTGTCGTCGGCCTGTGAACAAAAGATCATCCACATGCAGCATGAACATGTTTTCCTGGCAACGTGCAAGACAAGGCTGAACTGCGCTGAACTCAAAGTTAAGCACTGAAGTTGCAAATTGGCGAAAATGCCAATACCATGCCTTTGCTCCCAACCTTTGTCCCGGGAGATTCTTCAACACCACGTACTCAACACCATCCAAAACAACTGCAACAACATGCTCTTGAGGTGCTTGGAGAAAAGCATCCTTTATATCCAACGCTGCAAGAATCACATCGTACTGCTCACCTTGCAAACCACTCATCTCAAGCTGTCTCAAAGTCTGCAAGTAAATGATGGGTATGATATTGCTGCAATGACATCCAGTGGCAGGTGAGTAAACATCATCACGTTTGGTTGTGGCGAACTCTCTGGCCACAAACCGGTTCCTCCTCATCCAGCGTTTGATGCTGGCACTTCCATCTTTCTGGTTTCCATCTTTGACTTCATAAGATTTGAGCCGCCAGTCATACACAAAACGTGTTGTCAATGAACCTTCAACCATACCACCAAAGTCACAACGCTTCTGCAAAACACCCATGCTGAGCAAACGTGCAATTTCAACCTGGTCTGCCAGTTTGTCGATCCAAGGATCGGGAGGACCTGGAGGAACATCGATGGGAGCATCTGACCACAGCTGTTCTGGCACGTCTGTAAACTGAAGCACATCTTCATCATGCCATATGTCATCATCTTGAAAACCATCATCTGCAGAATCAATGCTGGGGTCATGCTCATAGTTGTCCATCGTATGATATTCCTTTTCACCAATCTTCACAACACGTATCATTTTCTCATGAGACTCACGCAACATCCCAATTCTCATTTTCTTTTGGGACTCAACCTTGGCCTTCTTTGATTCATGGCTCTCATCTCCACCTTCATCATGAGCACGGCTTGTTGGTGAAGCACGGGGACTTGCAGGCACTGGAGCTGCAATGACTGGAGGAGTCATGGGCACATGCTTTGCATCTTCTTCATTCAACTCACGTTCCATCTCAGCCAAGAAACTCATGTCAATCTCGTCATCTTGCAATTCAACTGGGACATGAGGCAACCCAGCTGAAGACGCAGGAACTGCAGCTATTGGTGCTGCCTCTGAGCCAGAAGCTTTTGCTGAAGACTGCAAAGGCTGTTCATGCCCACGTTGAAGCATTGGGTCTTCTCTGCCCATTGCGCTGGTTTCATTTTCTTCTTTTCTTTCTTCATTGGCTTTCTGTCTGACTGCTTCACCATCTGCATCATGAAGCATTGAAGGCAAGATTGGCCCAACAGGTGGTTGAGCTGATTCAGGAATTGGCTCCACTGTCCTTTTGGTTGGGATGATGCGTCCCCCAAATCCAGCTTTGAACTGCCATGTCGGGGCGTTGAAGTGGATGTAGTAACCCAAATGAGATTTCCAGTCACATTGAATCCTCCTCACACTTTTTGTCAACATCACACCATTGCCTGTAAACACCACAAACGTGTCTTGGCTTTCCGTTTTCCCAAGCATGACCACTCGTTGCCACTTTGCATTGCCTTTCTGAGTAACATTGACATAGGCAAAAATCGGTTCACCAAAAGAAGCAAGCTTTCCCTTGTAGGGCTTTGAGTAAACAAGCTCATATGGCGTTGTGCCATGTGTCACACCAAACCGATTCAACAGCCAACTTGCATGCCGCATTGCCCACGACCAAATGCTGTTGTTTGTGCTGAGCTCCATGGAGATCTTCTCTTGCAGCTGAAACATCAAGGAACCTGCAAGGCTACGCACTCTTCCAATTGTATTCTCACACAAGCTATTGCCATGAGAGTAGGCCGCTGGTGTCTTTGAATGGGTTGAAAGTCCTTGCGCAAGACGGGCTTTCACAGCTCTTGCTTGGACCTGTCTGATGCTGGGCTCATTGTCACATAGGAAGCAAACCTCTCCATGACCAAGAACCTGTGTGAACTGCAAGATTTCACGCACCATCAAATCAAACTGTGATTTTGCCCTCACTGGCACGCATCCCGTGTAATTGGTCTGAGAGTCAACCGTGACCAATGCAATCACTTGTTCTGTGTTCTGGACTGTCCCATCAGCAGCTAATGCACGTGTGTATGCAAAGTCAAAGCTCACTGTAGGAATCTCACCACGTTTCACAGAACCATCTCTAGCTTGTCTGTCCTGTTGACTTCTATGGGCAACGCAAGCTGCACACCAGTCCTTGTAGGGCATATGTGTGAGGTTGTGGATCTGCTGCTCCTCTTCTGTTGGAGGCTCTGCCAGGTGCTGGGGTCTAGGCACACGCTCTTGAGATGCCTGGGACTCCTTTGCTGCTGCTAACGCTGTCTGTAGCTCAAGCTTCTTTTGGAAATCCCACAAACGCTGAAAACATCTTGTTTTGCCACCAGAAGAAGAAAGATTGTAAAACTGACATGCCTCACGCATCGTTGCAAGTGCTGTATCTCGAAAAATCTCAACACCATTCACTGAAAGATGATCACCCCTTTCAGGTGCAATGACAATCAGTCCATGAATTTCCATTCCACCTGCAACATCACGTTCACCATCAATCTCAACGCCAACAACTGCGTCTTCATCTTCTGGGGCCACTGGCGCTGCCACATCAATGTCCACCGCATGAGCTTGAGGCATCAAAGGTTCCTCACCTTCATTCATCAAACGGATTCCCATTGTTTCTGGTGGGCAGTCATTGTCTGTGATGATTGTAAGCACGTATCTGTCACTGCCGTTGAAGCCATGAAATTCAGATGACAAATCAATCAGAGTTTCCATTGGTTCACATAGCTCCATCACAAGCCACTGACCACCATCTCTAACCAGTGTTGTTCGAAACTTGGAACCTGCCATTGATGGGCATACCACTGTGGGATCCTGAAAGCAATTTGCAAAATGCTTGCCACGTCCAACACCTTGTGCATTCAACTCCCAGCCAACTCTCATGCCAGCTAAATCTTCAATCACATCTGCTTTGACCACACGCACTGAAAGAGGCTCAAACTGCTGAGGCTCCTCACGCAAAACTCTCACCCATCCCCTGACAGACATTGAGTGATGTTGCAACTCAATTGGAACCTGAATGCCACTGCCATGGATGAGCGTCTGATCCTGTCCATTCACTCCCCAGCCGCTTTCAAGCAAATGACCAAAGCAAAGAATGGGTTGATGTATATGACTACTGATTGCAACTGTCTCTTTGATGACAATGGATCGGCCATGAACATCTGCTAAATGCAACTCAACATCACGCATTCCCTGAATTGGGATACTGTTTCCCTGAGCATCGTGCAGCTTAGACTTGGGGCGGTCTGACTGGATGCCAAACTCTGCCATGCTTGCAGGAAAGATACTTGCATCTGCACCGCTGTCAAGGAGTATGCTGCACATGTTGGTATCTTCAGGAATGCTTTCAACAATGGCCCTCACTGATCCATTTTCAAAACAACTGAGCTCGTCACCAATGTAATATTTCACCACACGCACTGAGCCTTCATGACGACTTGCATTGCTGGCAGGGCTGCGCAAATCAAAAATCACTTCATCATGTCTTTGGGCATCTGAAGAACCTTGAAACTCAACTTCATGAATTCTTGCAACTCGAAACTGAGTTGATGACTGGGGTTCCCACTGCAGTTGAGCTTGGAGATGACGGCAATGGTTGTGAAGCCTGAGGATGCGGTAGTTGTTGACCCTCTGACTGCACAGCTCTAACATTGGACGCCCAACAGTCACGTGCATAGTGCCCTGGCTTGCCACATCGATGGCACACTCCACTTGTACTATTGCCTTTGCCCTTGTATCCAGTGGAATCATTGGACTTCCCACCTGATTTGCTCTTTCCGTCTCCTTTCTGCTTTCCTTTGTTGTTTGACTTTCCATCACCTTTGGACTTTGTCTTTGACTTTCCTTTTCCTTTCTGTTGGCCTTTCTGTTGCCACCCTTTGCCTTTATCTTTTCCACCTTTCTTGCCAGAAGAGTAGATACGATCAACTTCCATGGGTGCAGCTGTAGAAGAAGCTGCATCTTCTGAAAACAAAAGCCCATTCCAACGTTGTTGGCTCCTGTCCCAACGCAGTACATGATCCCTCAATTCAGCAAAAGTGGTTGTCTCCTGAATGGACAAATTGAGGTGTGTCCTGAGTTGGCCACTCACTGATTTCAACAAGATCGCCTGCTTGAGTTGGTCAGGTATCGTCGCACCTGCTTTGCGAGCTTCTTCAAGTGCATCTTCCAAGCGCAAGACCTGTGGCTGTAACTGCTGGTTCATAGCAAACTGTGGCCAGCTTGTCAGGGCTGACATAAGAGCTAGTCCCCTGCCACTGCTTGATGGTCTCAGCGCCAAAGTCAACTGACGTAGGGCTTCATATCCATCACCATTCTTCACACTTCTAATCACATGCAAACTCCTGTTCCGGCATAGTGATGCCAGCAGACCATACAGCTTGGCGCTTCGGTTGCGCGTCTCTGCTGAAGCTGATTCAAGGTCAAATGGATGAGATGGATCATCCATCAGTGATTGAAGCTCCTTCTCGTACCCACTGTCAATCGCATTCAGAAACTGTGCAAGTTGCCAGTTCCAATCCCTGTAGGCACGTATTTCATCTTCTGAAGACTTGTAGTCAAACAAAGGGGGCTTATTCAAAAGTTTCGACCAATCCACGTTCTGCGCATTGGAACTGCTAGGGCTGGAACCTGGAGATGTCACCACTGCTTGTTGTGGCGCATTTTGTATGGCCTGGGCTGCACTGGCTGCAGCCTTTGTTGCCTCGGCCACTTCCAGGAGCGCAGCCTGGAATATGGCTGGATCAAAACTCATCCTTTCACCTGAGAACTCCTTCACGTAAAACTCGTCAAGCAATCAACGCAAGCTGAAATCACAAGTGCTCACCAAGCAACTTATTGTAAATTGCACAACGTACAAGCTGTTCCACAAACCACTCTGTTATCACACGCCAGAAAAACTCAACAGTTGTATGAATGCTGATCCCAGAATTGTACACAAGCCAAATTCAGTTACAGTCAATCCCAACGTTAAGTTGCAATCTGTCCAACCCAGAATGATGTTCAACGCCACGTTTCAAAGCTGTGCACCTACCACAAATCCAGCAAGCAATGAAAAGGATTGCACCAAGTTTCCCAGTTCCAGAAAAATCCAATGGCTAAACCAGTTGCGCAGAAGGATGAACGGAATTGCTTACAGGTAGGAAGCCCGTTTGGGCTCCGCTACCATGCAAGCGGGAGCGGACTTTTCTCGAGCACAAAAGCCTGGACGATATGGTCATGTCATTCACATGCCACAAAGGTGAAAACTTGTTACACTTCTCATCAAGATTTGTGCTGTGTCATCCATGAGTGCTGCCACAAATTGTACGCAGTTTTATATACTTGAAATTTCATCCACTGAACTCTACATAGGATGATATTGGATTCACTTTACTTAAGATCATTTGCAGTGAATTAAATTTGTAAACAAATCCAATGACCTTTACTTGGGACCCTGTCAGCCGACTTTTCCTGAGATTCAATTTCATGAACTTTACTTGCAATTAGTTTGAATGAGCATTTGTATAACATGTTTTTGTGGGCAAACTTTACTTGTGAATGTTGTGGTTGTTTTATAACTTAATGTATTGTCTTATATACATGAGTTTGTGCAAATATAAATATATGGGAATGCCTCACAAAGAGGTATCACCTAACATTTAGGGTGTTTTTTTGCCACCAAAAGGGACGCCTCAGGACATACCCATATTAATATAAATGCATATGCATCAAATGCAAATGTTTTGCATTCAAAATGTCAACTGGTCTAAATGTTACTTGTGAAACATGTCGTTACTTGTGCAAAACATGAGAACTATACAATTTTGCCTCTGACTTTCAGTCTTAAGATTACTGTGTTCACACTTGTATACATGTAAGAAAACAATTTGGAGTTACATTGAATATATGGTTTATGGTATTTCACAGATACATGTAATTAAAACGTATATATACTTTGTGATTTCATTGACAGTGTTGATTGTTTTTTTGGAAACAAAATAAGGCTCTTATACATGAAATGTTCATTCATTATGTTATGAATGTGTCATGAATTTCTTGCAAATTTTCTTATGCAGTTCTTATGCAGTTCTTATGCATTTCCAATGATTTCCAATGAAATCCTGATGAAATTCTAATGATTTTTAAATATTTTTTTTATGCAGTTCTTATGCAGTTCTTACGTTGTTTTCAAAATTACAAACCGCATAAGAACTGCATAAAGAATTCATAAGAATTTCATAAGAATTTCATGAGAAATTCATAAGAACATCATTGGAAGTCATGGGAAATGCATAGGACCTGCAAAAGGAATTCACATGAAATTCAAAAATAATTCATAATAAATTCATTAGAAGTCATAAGAACTGCAAAAGAAATGTTCACGAAAACATGAGAAAATCAAAAGAAACTCAAAAAAATCATGAGAAAATCAAAAGGTATTCATAATAAGTAGTCTGATTGAAGATAAGGTCACATGAACTTATTTAAGGCAAGCAAACAGATAGCTCCAAAATTTGAAATTGGGTTTCATTTTCAATGTAATTTTCATCAAATTAAAAAAACAAAAAGAAATCCTCTGGATAATGCTAAGAAACCAAACAAGAAACACACAATAAACATCAACATACATTTTAAAAATGGTTTAGAATACACTAAGATGACATTCACGTCACTATCTCAAGTAACAACATCTCAGGTAATGACACACACACACAGGTGGTGCCTGTAAGTCTGTTTCATGCAAAAAAAACTGTGATCCTAATGTTTTCCGATTACAATGTCAAGATGTTCACAAGTAATACCTGAATTTGCCACATGAGATTCCAAGAGGTTTTGACCCAGCTGCTCAAGTAAAACCAAACCCAGCCCATGTAAACCCGTCAAGGTCTTCAGTATGCCACAAATAAATGCAATTTAATGTGTTACTATAGATTTAGGCCTCTCCACCTTCAACCCTAGTGCTCAAGAAACATCAAGAAAAACCCAAGTAAAATCACCAAAATTGAGACGCAAAATTTATATTTTATATGATCACAAGTAAATCTTAAGTTGCGAAGCTGCCGTGCTTTTTGCCAAAGGGGCTGCGGTCTGCAGCAATCCAACATGTTTTGCATGAATGTTACACTTAATGATTTGTGCAGTCATCCTTGCACATGGGCCATGCTGTGAGTCATACGTTTGATGTTTCTCACTCCTCCTTGGGTCATTGAGCCTTTGTTGCTCACTGATCCATTTTGAAATCTGCATGGCCGAAAAAAAATGAAACTCCTAACCTATGATGTTAGGTAGCGGAAGTGCCAATTGTAGGTTTTCTACGTTGGCGATCTGAACTCTCAGGTTTGCTGCTTCATTTTCCTCTCCAACCAACTGCGCTCTCTCTTCTCGTTCTTTCAACTCCCTCAAGAGTTTCTCCATGCGATCTGCCTCCTCCTGCAAGCTTTCCGCAACAGTTTCTGACGGTTGTGGTTCTCTCCCATGTGGCTCCTCATTTTGCACCGTATGGGGCTCTGGTTCAGGACCTATTGCAAGTGGGCCATATTCCGTTGGCGAGTCAATCACTGGCATCTCCTCTTCTGCTGTTTCACTTCCTCCCCTTCTCGGGGGTGTGGCCTTACGGCTCGTTGACCTCGATCTCCTGCTTCCCCCATCGCGCATTCGTGCATCATCATCTGCATTTTCCCTGTTTTGGAATGTCAGGGTCGAAGTTCTTCTTCATCAAGAGGTTCTCCTGTCTCCAACATAGCCACCCAAGCGCACCAAACCCAGCCGTATCTGTGAGGCTAAGTCGTGGGTTTTGGTGATCCCTTCGCTCACCGTTCTAAAAGGCCTCACCATTTGTGGCTTGCATTCTATCCACATGTCCACGTAGATCTTGGACACAAATGCAAATGCCAAGCCCGACTGTGGCCAGGAACCCCATGATGTAGCGTAGGGTTCCTCCATGAAACCTGGGTCCTCCTCAGCACTGCAAAATGACTGTGCTCCTCCTGGAAGTAGCGAACCTTCAGCTCCTGTGATCTCACCCAGCACCATCAGCCTCATGATCACCTTTGCTAATCTCTTCACCTTCTGCGCGGACATCTTCTTTGCCTGCATCTCTTCAAAGTCGTTCTCACCAATGGGCTCAGCATCCACAATCCCACACAGGAAAAGGAGTGTCCCCATCCTTGATGCAGTCAATGGCTTCGTTGCTAAGTCGGCGATGTTCAGATCTGTGCTGACCTGTGTCACTGTGATATTTCCTTTTGCTGTCTTTTCCTGAATCCACAAAAGTTTCCCGCTCAAATCGCGAATACGGCCTACTCCGGTTTTGTTGGCCAGTGTCTTGGCTGCCATGTTGTCCACCAGGATGTAGTGCTTCACCAAAAGCCCTGTGAGAACGCTCAAGCAGCCAGCAATGTAGATACCATCAGCTGCTGCTGATACCAGTGAGTGCAATTCTGCCCCTGCGCTCGACAAAGCAATGACCTTCTGAGTCCTCGAAGATCCATGCACCAGGTCTCCATTCAGGAGATGTAGAGCTGCTGAAGTGGAGCGGCGATGTTTTTGCTCCCTGCCCAGTCGCTGTCGCTAAAGGTCTCCAAAGCCAACTCCTTCTGGCAGTTGATCACCTTGCCAATACCACGCTCTGGGACCTTCAATTTCACGGCATAGTGGGGTGTGGACTTAAGATAGCCCAAAAATTTCTTGAGCCTTGCAAAGGCAATAGCTGTCGGTCTTGCCATCTTTGAGGCAAGCTCTTTCACACAGAAGGCAATGTCGACCCTCTCCTGAGAAAGGTAAATTGCCATCCCCACCAGAAATCTAAACAAAGTTGCATCCACCATGTTGAGTTCCTCTGAGTTGTCCTCGATGAGAACTGAAGCATCAGTTGGAACTTTCTGCGCACGTACATGGCCATGAGAACTTTCGAAAACCTTCAGCATGTCTCGATGTAGCCTCCTGGAACCACCACCAGACCATCATCCACTCGCACATAAGTTCTGTTGAGAAAAGTCATCTTGTCGCCGACCTTCTCCAATTATTCTTTGTTACATTGGCCGTGGAACAACACAGACACTAAATACCTAAGTAAGAAAGTGGGAGAAGGAGAGGGTAGAGTAAATTCAATACGCGAAGGTTATACATATAGCCACGCTCACGCGATACGTCGAAACGCAAACGTCGGGGAAATTGCAAAACACTGACATCGAAAAGAATCACAAGTGAAAACAAAGCTGAAGCACAGCAAAAAATGAACATGACTGCTCCAACTGAAAAATGTGATCACCGCTCACACTCTTTTTTGTCCAGTGATTGCTCAATCACTCGGGGAAAAGTTTGGATCGGTAAATTCATCCGACTGGGTTTGAAGGATTTTGTCCATCAGATCAGATTTTGCATCATGTTTGCAGCTCCTTTTGAATACCCAGGGTGGGACGAGAAGCATGCGTATCAGGGTGGGTGAAAAAATACAAATGTTTCCCTGTTGCATTTGAGTGGAAACTTTGGTCCACTTGAACGGACGGCGTGGACATAAATTGATTGCCTAACAGGACAAAAAATTGAAAAGGTTTGAGTTTATCTCACACAGTTTGGTCACACTGAAACAAAATTGACGACATGAGAAATTGTGAAATATTGAAACGCTGTCTCATCAAAAGTTTCAGTTGTTGAAAACGACCAGAGCAAAAAAGGGAGATAAACGCGTTTTGAAAATTAACATACAGTTCATTGTTTGTTGAGTGTTTCAACAAAGTCTATTGATTCCAATACGTGACATACAGTGCACGA